CAAGCAAGGAGTCCCAGCCCCACACCGTGCCCCCATTGCAGGGTTCCAGTGCCAGGAAGATAAGTCCCCATTACTTCTGGCTGCAAAAACCAGCAGGAATTGAGTTCATAGACGAAACTTCTGGAGCCCCAAGTAGTTCCCCTTAAAAACCTACACACAACTCACCTACTCAGACTCACTTCCTCTGAGCTCCAGCACCAGAGTAGAAGCTTGAAAGGCACCAGTGGCATGAAGGGAGGAACTGAAGTGTCTGTCATCAAGGTAAACAGAGGCCATTGTCCTTTCTAAATCCTACACCCACAGAACCAGGAAGCTGGTACCATATCTGCTACTCCATCAATCTGGCTAACGCTGTTTGACCTGCCTTGGAGATCCCCAGAGGCTCTGCCCCATCCAACTTATACATCCACCCAAGCAGCTTTTCTGTATGAATGGCTGGTCTTAGCTCATGTTCCACAACTTCCTAAATCCTTTCAAAGAAGCAACAGCTGGCCTCTGTGAGCCCACAGCTAGGGACTATCAGCAGCCAACCTAGATTCATAGCTTAGCTTCCCCTGGGAATCTCCAAGCCCAGCACAAATACAGCCATCTCAGATTGCTTTATAGCTCAGGCAGGGTGGCCCCAGGCAAAACACAGATGGGGTCTGACCCTGGCCTGCACTACCTGGGAAACCCCAGGGTCAGTGTACCCAGTGGACACCTGCAGACCACATCGGAGTACCACCACACTACCCTTGCACAGCTGATCCTCCACAGACAGTGGAGGTTGGTCTTCAGTGGTCACAGCTAATCCTTGAAGCTGACTGGCTTGGGTAAATCCTGTCCATTGATCTGCCAACAGCAACCAAGGCTCAACTACAACAGGAGGGTGTACTCAGCCCACACAAAGAGTGCATTTTGAGTACCCAGCTTGGGTGATAGGGGAGGCTGTGCTAATGCACTCTACAGGATACCTACTACATTAGGCCACACTATCACAACAGAGTTAAAGCAGTTCTACCTAATACATAGAAACAAATATAGGGAGGCTGTCAAGATGAGGAAACAAAAGAAATATGGCCTAAATGAAAGAACAGATTAAAACTACAGAAAAAGAGCTAAACAAAATGGAGATAAACAATCTATCAGATGCAGAGTTCAAAACACTGATTATAAGGATGCTTAAGGAACTTAGGAGCTCAACAGCATAAAAAAGATCCAGTCAGAAATGAAGGATACACTAATTGAAATAAAACACGATTTACTGGGAAACAGCAGTAGAGTGGATGAAGCTGAGAATCAAATCAATGATTTGGAACATAAGGAACCAAAAAACAACCAATCAGAACAAGAAGAAAAAAGAATCCAAATAAATGAGGATAGTATAAGCAGCCTCTGGGACAACTTTAAATGTTCCAACATTCACTTCAGAGGGGTGCCGGAAGGAAAAGAGAAAGAGGAAGAAATTGGAAATCTATTTGAAAAAATAATGACAGAAAACTTTCCTAATTTGCTGAAGAAAATAAACATGGAAGTCCAGGAAACACAGAGAGTCCCAAACAAGATGAGTGCAGAGAGGCACACTCCAAAACACATCATAATTAAAATGATAAAGAGTAAAAATAAAGAGAGAATGTTAAAAGCAATGAGAGAAAAGAATCTGTAGTTACTTTCAGGGGTGTTCCGATAAGACTGTTGGCTGGTTTCTGAAAAGAAACTTTGCATGCTACAAGGTATTGGTAAGAAATACTCAAAGTCATGAAGAGCGGGGACTTACAGCCAAGATTGCTCTATCCAGCAAAGCTATCATTTAGAATTGAAGGGCAGATAAAGAGATTCCCAGACAAGAAAAAACTAAAGGCGTTCATTATCACCAAACCACTATTATATGAAATGTTAAAGGGACTTATTCAAGAAAAAGATAAAAACTATGAACAATAAAATGGCAAGAAATACATATCGATCAGCAATTGAGTCTAAAAAACAAAGTAAGTAAACAAGAAGAACGGAGGTAGAATCATGGATATGCCGAGTATTTTGATGGGTGCCAGATGGGACAGGGGTGAGGAGAGTAAGACATACAAACAGGTAGTTACAGAATAGCCATGGGGATGTAAAGTACAGTATAGGAAGTGGAGTAGCCTGAGAACTTATACACATGACTCATGGACATGAACAATGGTGCAGGGATTGCCCGAGAGAGTAGGTGGCCCTGGGTGGAGGGGTGCAAATGGGGAAAAATCAGGATACCTGTAATAGCATAATCAACAAAATATAATTTTAAAAATAGAAACAAAACAGTGAAGTACAGTTGGTTGAGAACCACTGGTTTAGAATTTAAAAAATGAAAATATACATCTAGGATCAAAATAGTTAAAACAAAATGGCACGTAAATAATGTATATATAGAACTAAGGATAATGGCTGCATACACATTTATAAAATGAGTTAAGCTCATTTGCACTTACATGAACAAAAAGAACAAAGAATAAGAGAAAATTGCATTTTTACTGAAACTAAAAGAGGCCCCCATACCTCAAGCTACTAGCTCTAGTTCCATTTTTTATTGTCAGGTTTAAAGTTTATTTTACTTTTAAACAATGTTGTAATAAAGTTTCTACTTGTACTTTATCCGTAAAGTAGATTCTTAAAAGATTGTAAGATCCAAATGTATGCTTATTTTTTACTTTAATAAATATTTCTAGGAAAAGTAATCTCCAGTGAGCAATATATAGAGACTGCTCATTATGCCTTCTGGGTTTTCCTTAACCATAATCCTGAATTAAGTTATATCAACAGAAAGAAATATACCTAGGGTGTATAATTTATTATCTTATTAAAAAGTAATGACTATTATTTAGCTCTTATATTGAAGTACTCAGCTAACGTGCTTATCTATATCACAAAGGTATTTTTGCTGTGCAATACAAAGGCAATTTTTAAAATAAATCCACCTTTTATTATTTTTAAATAATAGTATATTTCAGTACCTCTAATCTGTGTGGCTCAGTTGGTTGGGCAGCATCCCTCAAAGTGAAAGGTTTTGGGTTTGATTTCCGGTCAGGGCACATGCCTGTGCTGAGGTTGGGTTCCCAGTTCTGAGTGCCTAGGAGGGACAACTGATCAGTGTTTCTCACATCTATGTTTCTCTCCCTCTCTTTCTCCCTTCCTCTCTCTCTAAAAAATAAAATAAATAAAAATATTTTAAAGTAGCAATAAATAGCACATTTTAGAATTTTTGTATACAATGTGGTTATTAGCTATAAATTTTTAAAAAGTCTTCCGGTAAAATCTATTTAAGTAAAAAATCTACATTTTTTTGTATTTAGTGAAATGAGATGTTGGTGAAAATAGTTTGTAAAGACGTGTCCTATAGGCCTTGCCATCAGATAGCCACATGCCTCAAAGCTCGTTAGTTACTATTGATGACCTAAAACTTGTGCTTTAGGCATTAGTTCCACATACCCATCAGTACTAACCGTGCCTTTCCCTGATGAATGCTGATAAAAAGTAAGAAAAGTTCTCTAAGAATATGCCCACACTCATTACAGCAGTACCATCCCTGTGGAGATAATTGACAATGCCAGAACATGAAGTTTTTTAATTGTATGTGATTGGGAAACTCATTGAAATTGTCTTACAAATGATCCTGTGTATCAACATGAGATTATCTTTACCATACATATTTAAGAGAAAAATCATCTAAATACCATATGGGTTCAATCGATATTTAAACATCAACCCTGCATTATTTTAATTTGTCAGTATTTAAAATTAAATCAAACTATTTTTTTCTTAGAAAATACATAGTAATTATGTGAATTGGCTGTAGAATTCCCTACAGATATCTTTTTATGTTTAGATTATTTAAATGGTGAAAGTTTACTCTTGGTTAATTTTAAGTTTACAGGTGAGCAGTATCTTTTTTTGTTTCTTCCTATAAATTGTGAACTTCACAATTGCCTTGCTTAATTTGGGGATCAGGGTATGCAGAGAGTATTAAAATGACCATAAACTAATACAGATAAAATTTTTATTGACATATAATTGACATGTAACATTATATTAGTTACAGTTGTACAATATGATTCTGTATTTGTACATATTGTGAAATGATCACCATAATAAGCCCAGTTATCTATCACCACACGTAATTATAGTTTTTTTCCTTGTAATGACAGCTTTTAAGATCTTTTAGCAACTTTGAAATATACTGTACAGTTTTACTAATAGTAGTCACCATGCTATACATTATGTCCCCATGACTTAATTTATTTTATAAATGGAAATTTTGTACCCTTGACCTCCTTCACTCATTTCTATTCTAGATTTTTTTGTATCAATGTAAACTATTACAATAAGATCAATATAATATTGTACCCAAAATAGCCAAACAGATTAATGAAGATGCTTAGAGGTGGTTATAATAAATTGGTCATATTAAGGTCATTTTGAGGCCATCCTTCAAACGTGATTGTACTAAAAACTATGAAATGTAATTTGTCTTTTGAGGGAGGGTCTCACTGTATTGGAGATTATGAGGTCATATTCTTGGATTCTTGAGTCCAACAAGCATATTTCTATCTGGATTAATAAGACAGGGTTACAGTCCATTGAAATGTAATGGTATTTTCTTGTTTTATTAAAACAATATGGGCATTGTGTGGTAAGTGAGTGGATGATAAAGTGATGTAGAAGAATAAGAAGTTGATATATTAATTTTCCTAAGGTTGTGGCACATGTGTGAAATTCCTATAGTTATATCATTATTAATTTTTTGACATAAGGAAACTCTACAATCCTAATAGAGAGGGGATTTGGTATACTTAACATTAAACTTATTTCATAATTGGTATTTTTATTTTGTTTTTTATTCCATATTTTATGTTTCTGAAGAATACATGTTCTAAACTTCATAACTTTAAAAACTATGCCTAAATATTTGACTTAATTTAAGTGTGTATAACTCTTTTGAATACTTCCTCTAACACTGAGAACTAATATTTTTCTCCCTCTCGTAGATATGGAGTCTGGAGAACGGTTACCATCCTCAACAGCCTCCTCTACTGTACCAACTTCCTCTTCTATGCCTTCTGTGGCTTCATCTGTGTCAAAAGGCGGCCTTTCCACTGGAGCTGCTTCGCTTAGCTCTACAATCAACCCATGTGGTGAATATCCTTATTAACTCAATTTTAGAATGCCATTCTTTTACTAATTTGTGTTTGTAGTGTTTTATGCAGCTCTGAATAAACTGTTCTCATTACCTCCACTGACCTGTGGAACAATGGCTATCTTAAACATCTAGTCTCTGCTTTTTTGAATTCTGTCAGGACACTTGGGTAGCACTGGTTATTCCATGCATTTCATACTTATTAGACGCTCTCTTTGTGAGTTTCATATTAATGTCACCATTTCAATTAATAAATTAATATATTCAAAGTCTTTTGAAAACATTACACCCATGAGGGAATGAAGAAATACAAAGGAATTCTTGGTGATAGGAGAAGGTACCAATGCTGTGAACCCTTTGCCCTAAATCTGCTTTCAATATTGAAATGACCTTTACCAAATTCCAGCTGTCTCATCTCACAGGCGTATACTAAGGCATCTAGATCATTTACTTGTTGGAAAATATTTTAAAAGCTTAGAGCTTTTAAAGTTTCTTGTAAACATGACTAAAGTTTATATTGCTAAAAAGAGAGCTTTATTTCAGAAGTGAAAATACCCTTAATTTGCATTAATTACATAGGAGGTATTTTTTTTGATAATTCTTTATTACAGTGAGTATAATTATAGAACAATTTATACCCCATCTCAGTTAGTTTCTTTTTCTTCTTTTTGTTTTTGGAAAAATATGAATGGATTTTTTAAAAATTTTATTTTAATCATTGTTCAAGTACAGTTTTCTCCCACTTACTCCCATTCCAGCCCACCCACCCAACCCTCCCCTCTTCCCCACCATTATCCCCCACCCCTAGTTTTTGTCCATGTGTCCTCCAAATTTGTTCCTGTAAACACTACCCATTCCCCCCTGAAATTCCCTCTTCTCTCCCCTCTGGTCACTGTCAGTCTGTCCCCTATTTCAGTGTCTTGGTTATATTTTGCTTATTTCTTTGTTTTGTTGTTTAGGTTCCTGTTAAAGGTGATATCATGTGGTATTTGTCTTTCACTGCCTGGCTTGTTTCGCTTAGCATAATGCTTTCCAGCTCCATCCATGCTGTTGCAAAGGGTAGGAGCTCCTTCTTTCTTTCTGCAGGAGGTGTTTTTAATAACCATGCCAAATCACTTCTTGACCAAACACAGATTTAGTAGAATACATCCTTTTTTTTTTTTTTACAGCTGAACTTGATTAACTCATTTCTTTATCAATAGGAAGCTTTTTAATCTTAAATATTTTCAAATAATCTTATAGATTATTCTATATGTTTATAAGAAGTACAAGTAAATGGTATTTCACTTTTTCAAGATTAGGTTGTAATTTGGGGTAAGTGAAATGCATAAATATGGAATATTTGCTAACAAATACCCTAGCAATTTGCCAAGTATGTATTTAATTATTTTGATTTTTTTTAATCAATGGAACAACAACAAGGATGCTATTTTGTCATTGTTTTATCAGAATACATTTCTAAAATTTTCTTAGTGATTACAAAATAGCTAAAATAAAATAGCATAACATTAAAAAGTAAATAAGTGAAATCTCTGTTGTCCTGTACCCTGTACAATCTGGGTTAAAGTTAACATTGAACAGCTTGATCCACACTTCCCTGGTGTATAAAATGATAATGATGTATAACTGAAGAATGCCTTTGATGATTTGCTGTATTCAGAAAAGATGATGCCATAATTGGCATTTTACTTCCACTGACTTTGTCTAAATGATTGAAGAGTTCTACTTTTATAATTTTTCTTTCCTGCTTTTTATAACTGTTCTTTAATATTATATTTGAATTCAGAGCCCTGAGTTTTCTGGAAGTTTTGCCATCACCTGTTTCTCACTTAGTTTCCTGAATTCGTGACACTTGAATTGTTTGTGATTCTGATTAGTCACATTAGGACACCATTTTTTGTTTGTGATAGTTGGGAATTGCAGAAGTGGTTGGGGCATGCTAGCTTTCTGAGTATTGTTAGAAATTTCCTTGTCTGGAAAGGAATACGTTTTTGTCATTTATTTACCAGTTTAAAAGGTTGTAGAGTTTTTATGTTGCTACTTACATTGAATGAAAGTATAGTTTATTTCTATGCTTATTCAGAAATATATCACCTATTAACACATTTGAATACCTATATTACTAGTTTTTTCACTGACTGGGAAAATGCTTTTTCGTTTTTAATTTTCACACTGTTGTAGGTTATGTTTAAAGTAAAGCATAGTATTAACTTCCAATGCACAACTTATGTAAGAGAATGCTTAGTTGTCCCGTATAACTCAGTTTACCACATTTTTCTGTCTTGTTTGATGTGATATTTTTAGCCTATTCATTGCCTAATAATTCTGTCCACTTTAAAATAAAATCATAGAGTCATAATAGACCTTGGCCTCTTTATCTTAAACAATGTGATTCTCCTCACTTTTTTTTTTGGTGTATAGAGTCAAACAGAATTTTCATCTTTAAAATGTCAAAACTTGAACAGTTTTTTAATGATCCCTTGGGGATGGACTTTCTTTCCTTTCTTTTCTTTTCTTTTCATTTCTTTTCTTTCCTTTTTGTAGATCTTCATTTATTTTTAGACAGAGGGGAAGGGTAGGAGAAAGAGAGGGAGAGAAACATCAATGTGTGGTTGCCTCTCACATGCCCCCTACTGGGAACCTGGCCCATAACCCAGGCAGTGCCCTGACTGGGAATCAATCCCATGACCCTTTGGTTTTCAGGCTGGCGTGCAATCCACTGAGCCACAACAGCAGGGCCAGGAAATTCTGTTTTAAGTAGTTATTTTAATAGACCATTCTGTCTTCTTTATTAATGGTATGTCTACAGAAATTCCACTGAGTTACAAGGGATATAATTCAAACCTGCTTTTCAACATTGAATGATTAACTAACTCACTTATTTGGAATCAGTACCTTGTGAGGATTTGAGATGGTGCCTACCCACAAGTTAGCCTGCTGTCTCCTGGGTCAGAGATTTCATTACTTACAGCACAGCAAACAGCATGAGCATCATGTTGGCACTGGCTTTCCATGCCTCTCAAGTTCCAGCCATCTTGAATCTTGTACATGCAGTGGGTTTGTGTCACAGTTTAGGAATACTGAGCTTAAAGAATCCACTGCTTTTATTGTAAATGAAAACAAACCCTTTATCTAGAGGCAAATGTTACCTCATCCTTCAAGGCTGATCACTGCAAATGCAATCCTAAGAAAGGGCTTACTTAAAGAGCGGTCAAGGCCTTGAATTTTTGGTGTACTCAGCAGGAACATGTAGGGAGGGACCATGCTGGATTGCCTTTTACAAAACACCTGTCATTTTTATTACAGTAACTTGGATAGAAAATAACACTGCAGTAAAGATTAATTAATCTAAGGCCATCTGCATATATATGTTTTGTTGGTCTTAGCAGAATATAAGGAATGCAGTATTTCTGTTTAAGTTATGATTTAAAAATAACTTGCCTGCCTCTAATAAATATTTTGGGACAGCTGTCAGGAAATGTATTATCATAGTAAACAAAACAGTTAACTAAAATATCAAAAGATAGGCCCTAAAAAGATATTAACTAAAGAAAGCCACCAATATTAAACAAAAAACAAATGAACTATTAAGAATAAAAGGGAAAAATACATATATATCTCATATACTGATGCTAGTCAGCATATCAGTTCCTCAGGAAAATTCCTCAGGAAAATGTGAACTTTTATCCTGGCCTTGGGCGATGTAGCAATTATGCTACCAGAACTTTTGTGTGAAAAACCAAATGCTGCCCAGTATCCTACTTGTGAGTTTCACAGATACTCAGACTGCACATACTGGCTCTAAGTGAAAGCTGAGAGAAAAGTATTTAAACATAGTTGCATAATTAAACTTTACGGAGTGGATTAGCTTGAGAGTTGTGGTCATTTGAAATCATACAAAGATAGGAATTTGGGAAATTTCAGTTATAGTTCAGCTGTATCTTAGACCCGTGGTTTTTCTATTTTTTTTTTTAGGTAATCATCTTCAAACCAAAGCTTATAAAAATAAAAATGCTGAGTAAATAAAATAGGTAAACTGTTTAAAATTTCTAGTTAAAGCTGAAGTATTCCTACTTTTCTTTTTAAAATTAAAGAGACCCATTTACATATGTATCTCACAATTGCTGACCACCTATCTCTCCACAAGTGTGACAAATCCTGGTTAGGCAGTGCTGGGTGGGTTATGTCATCACATAATCTGAACTTCTAATTTTAAATCATTTCTTTGAAGTAAGGAATTCTGATGTTCACATGGGTCTCTCCTGTCTGTAAGAGGCCTGATCCACTTATAGCATTGTTTTCCAGGAAGGAAGAAGGGGTGGGCATGAGGCAGCAAAAGCAGCATGCCTGCTTGCTTTGACCCCTTTTAAAGAGCCTTCCCAGAAATACCACCTGGTGGAGTTTCTGCCTTGTATATCTTTTGCCGGAATTGTGTAAATGGTAGTATCAGCTTCAAGGGAGGCCAGGGAAAATAGTTTTTAGATTAATGTATTGCTGCCTTAAGTAAAATAGAAATTATTAGCAAGGGAAAAAGAGAGACTGGATAGGTAGTATCTGCTGTAGGCTAAGTGAAACAGAGGGACAGAGGACAGGATTTCAACCTCAGGAGTAGGCTAAGGTTATGTCATTGATAACTTCATATACCATGCTTAGGAATTTAGGTAGAATAATGTGGTAATTAAAGAGCAAGGAGTCTTTGTAAAGCCCTGAAATTGAGTCTTGACTTGTCAACTTATTAGGTGTGTGAATTTGGGTAAATTACCCCTTTCTGGGGTTCCATCGCCTCATCTAGTGTATAAAATAGATATAAAAACACCCACTTTGCAGCATTATAGTGATGCCTAGCATATAGTAGGTGCCTAGTAAACTGTAAGCATTATTTTTATTCATATGTCATCAAATGGAGGGATTTTATATGATCATACTACTTTGAAATTGACAGCTCTAGCACCATGTAGCTCACCACTTTGCAAGGGGGTGAAACTAGAATAAAGGCCT